GATAAACGAGCTAAGAGAAAGCAGAGTTTCACCCGATGAACCCTTTGCGTAGAAGTGCGCGTCGAAAGCGCTCTCACTGTGACACCTCAGACGGAGCTTCATGTTGCTTACCAGCAATCCAAGCACCAGCAACTGAATGACTCCAGTCATGAGCGTTCACCGCCTTTTTTTTTTCTGTTGAAGGTCTTGGCTTTAACACTTTTAAGGCTTCCTTGCCTATGGAAGTTTCTTTTGTTTGCTTGCTGGAGCAATGTATGCCCCCAACTCAGCTCAAACTCTCCTTGACTTTGAAATTCTCAGCAACACCCTAGTTCCTAAAGAAGCTGTTGACAGACCCTCTTCGCTGTTTAGCAGATGCCTCGTCCGGGGGTTTTACTGTAGAATTGCAGAATGCGAATTTTCTACGTACCCTTGGCCTAGTTAGCAGGGAAACAGTCTTTCAGGACCCCTGTGAGGTTGACTTCCTTTTGCTTGCCTACCCCTTTTGCCTTGGAGAAGCCTCCAACCAGCAAGGATCGCATCGAGGAGCTTCAGGAGAGGCGCTCGGAGGCGCGCCGGACTAGGTAGGTGCAGGGGAACTGGGGACCTAGTTATCCCATTTGTCACCGAGGGACCAACAATCAGGAACATCACCACCATCCAAGCAGCAACAAACACCAAAGTGAGTTTGTGGGTCCTTTGCTGTGCTTATAACTGGTGGTTCTACCACGACCTACCTACCGTGAAAGTGCACCTACCCCGCCTTCTGCTTTCCACCATTGTCCCGAAACGGGTTGGACCCGTTGGATGTTTGAGGGGAACTTTCAGGAATACTAAAAGGATCCCCAGAGGTGTCCCTTCTTTTGTTCCTGGGCCACCTGCGTTACTCCCCGGCAAGCTTTCGCGTGGGACGCACACCTTTCAGTTTTAAGACTGAAAGGGGTTTTTGAAAGATCCATTGGAACCCGAGTTTGGGCGTTCCCCATTTGGAGCACCTTCTGGAGCCTTTTCAAGGGCTCCTTCTGCAGGTGTCCATTTATTTCCTCAACGGACTGGACATAGGCTGGTGAGCAACCCACAAGTGCTTCCAGTTACCTGAAACAAGGGAAGCCACCATTCGACACTTGGGCCTGTCTAAAAAAAGCTGGGACCCGGGGCAGAAATGGTAAAAGGTTTTGGCTGCTTCCTTTTGGCAGCCTACTTTGGGGGAAGTCATAGCCACCATGTTGACCTCGCCTTTGGACCTAGGCCTCCAAGCAGCTTTTGCAGCTCCAAGGCCGGCGTTAGCCTCGTTTGATAGGCCGAGCAAAGCTAGTTATCCTGTTTAATATACGGACTGTTTGAATGCCATAAAAGGACAACTGCAATGAGAAGGTGAGAGGACCAATTCATGTAGACTCCCGACTTTTTTGGACGGCTTTAAAGCAAATCCACGAGGGGATGCAGCTCAAGCGCAGCTTGATAGCTGCAAGCCAAGCTCATGGTCAAAATCAGGAGCATTGTATTTGGTGTCAGGTTCTCCCAACGGGTTTAAATACATGGGTTCCTCACTTGCACCACAGGATAATAATGTGTGTAGCATCCCAGAACCCATTTGATAGAACCCTTTTGCACCCAGTTGATCGAACCCATTTGGGGTCACCCAACAGTGATTTTACTTGCCCCTGCGGTGGATAGTTGATGCTCGCGTCTTTGGTGTGTCTCGCGTTTTACAGGTGTCCAGGGTTGGGCGAAGTTGATCAAGCACGCGCCATAGCTGAACTTGAAGCGCGAAGTGTTATATATGTTTGCAAGTAGGGGACCCGGAATGGTTGCTTCCTTTTGGCTTTCCTTCAAACCCACCCCCAACAGGGCACCCTCCCAGAAACACACCCAAACGAGTTGATGTTTGAACGCGCCCTTCTATTTGGAAGTATCTCCAGGAAGTTCCACCCATGTACCACATGGATTGTCAGCAAGGGAATGTTTGCAGGTGCTTCCGAGCCTCGGTTCTGAGGCCAATCTTCAAAATCGATATGACATGAACGCCAAGAAGGCGTACCCCCAAAGGAGCATGTGACTGTTTCCTGGCTGGCTTAAGACAGTGCCAGAATTGTCCGCCCCAACACCACCCGCCAAAACTACACCAGTTGGGATGATACTGGGCAAAATCCACCTACCAACTGCTGCGAAGTGGATTTTGTCCATCAGTGTTGAAAAGGCTTAGGCATTACCTAGGCTTCCTGATAATTTGCATAGGGGACAAGTGAAGGGTGCATCGGAAACTGACCTCCGTTTGGAGTGAAGACCACCAAAACCACTTCCAGAGCTGCAGGTCGCGTGGCCTCTGTGCGCCAACGCTCCTCAGAGGCCCTTCGCAAAGCATTGATGATGCCTCTAGTACACCAGAGTGAACGTAGATGGGGCGGGCCTTTTTGTTTAAGCATAGTTATATATATATGTGTGTGTGTGTGTGTGTGTGTGTGTCTGTGTGTGTGTGTGTGTTTGTGTGTGTGTGTGTATGTTTTTTGTTTCATTATTTCTGTCTCTCTTTCCTTATTTTTTCTTTCTTCCGTTCGTTGTTTGTTTGCTTGTTTGTTTGCTTGCTTGTGTTTGTGTCTTTGTTTGCGCCTTGGTGTGTTTGTGTGTGTGTGTGTGTGTTTGTTTGTTTGTTTGTTTGTTTTGTGTTGTGTTGTTTTGTTTTTGTCTGTCTGTCTGTCTGTGTCTGTGTCTGTGTCTGTGTCTGTGTCTGTGTCTGTGTCTGTGTCCGTGTCCGTGTCCGTGTCTGTGTCTGTTTGTCTGTCTGTCTGTCTGTTGTTTGTTTGTTTGTTTGTTTGTTTTGTTGTTTGTTTGTGTGTTTGCCTTTCTAGTTGGGTGTTTGCCTTTCTAGTTGGGTGTTTGCCTTTCTAGTTGTCTTTGTGTGTTTTTGTGTGTTTGCGTGGTTGTGTACTCGGGTTTGGTGGTTGCGTGTCTTTTTTGTATATTTTGTTGATTGTGGTTGTGCGCTGGTCTGTCTAGTTTTGCGTGTTTGCGTGATTGTGTTTTTGTGTGTTTGCTTGCTTGCGGTGTGTTTGCGTGTTTGCGTGTTTGCGTGTTTGTGTGTGTGTGTGTGTGCGCGCGTGTTTGAGTGTGTGTGTGTGTGTGGGTGCGTGCGTGCATGCGTGCGTGCGTGCGTGCGTGCGTGCGTGCGTGCGTGCGTGCGTGCGTGCGTGAATGCGTGCGTGCGTGCTTGCGTGAATGCGTGCGTGCGTGCGTGCGTGCGTGCGTGGGTGTGTGGGTGTGTGTGTGTGTGTGTGTATTTGGGCTAGGTGCATTTTGCACGAGAGCTTGGTGCGGAAAGCCCAAATTGTTTTTTGCAATATGTTCCAGCTGCGCCTTTGGCTGGGTCCCAAGCGTGCGTTTTGGGTGGGTTTTGGGCCCTGGTTCGCCTGTATAATAATCTTGAGGATGTCGCTTCAATAGACCCAGATTTGGCTGATGGATAAGCGACAGCTGTCGGGCAATAGGCTTGCCTCCAAACTACAGCGAACCTGTGCCCAATGGCTACTTGCTGGCAACTGGGATCCACGGTTGTGTGTATATGTAGGTAAAGAAAGACGACCGCCGTGTAGGTGGAAGACCAAGCCAGGGGTCCCAGTTTTGCTTACCCCAAGCCTACAAACCCTTTGGCTGGCCATTTTGGTAGATGATTCAACCACCTGGTTTAAGAAGGATTATCGACAGGCCTAACCTTTGTCAAAGGAAGTTTTATTAAGTGAAAGCTGGCTCTCTGACAGAAGAGAAAGAGAAAGAGAAGAGAAAGAAGAGAACGTGAAAGAAGATAATAATTGTAAACAAATCGCGTTGTCCGCCTCGGCCGGTCTGCTTTTGGCTGGCTTTGAGGTTTATAGCTGTGTTTTAGCTTGGAGTGTTGTGTTTGTTGGAGTGAGTGAGTGAGTCGGCGCCAATTGCGTGAGCTGGTTCCAAGGTTGAGGGTAGGTGCATGTCCGCGCGGTTCTGGAGGGGATTTGACAGGTTTCTAGAGGGGAGACCGGTTTCTACGGTTTTTAAGGAGATTAATTGGTTTCTACCGGTTGTAAGAGGGAAACTGTGACCGGTTTCTAGGGGGATTTGACCGATCTTCAGAGGGGATTTGTCTAGGGGTGGTGATCGGCTTGCTGAGGGGGTTTGACTGGTTTTGAAGATGAATTCGACTGGACCGGTTTTGAGAGGTGATTTGTGTTTCTGGGGGGGAATTGAGCGGTTTCTGGATGATTTGACTGGAGTTGGACCGAACTTGAGAAGGGATTTGACCGGAGTTGATAAGGATGTGACTGGTTTCGGTTTGCAGTTTGGAAGATCCCCTCCAGGCTCGCTTCATGGAGCAGGGATTTTGGGCGAGCGACATGGGTTGTGGTTGCATTGGAAAATGGGGTTTGAAGATCCTGACGACGTTCTGAAGAGGTCTTTCTTTCTCGCCCGGCTGAGGCGAGGCGAAGAAAGCAGGGAAAGATAGGAACGAGAGGGAGCGAGAAGGAGAAGCGCAAAAGAAAGAGAATAGCAAGAGACAAGGAGAGAAAGGCAGCTATATGTCTTTGGGTTTTGAATTATGCCCATCGCCGGCTCTACTAGTAACCATTTTAGTAGAAACAAAAGTCAGTTGCTCCCTTAATCCCAGGAAGGAGCAAGACCTTGGACACCTTTCCCATGGACGCCTTAGGGAGCCCTCACGTTTCAGTCCGCCAGCCCTGCACCAAGGCATAGTGTGCCGCTGGCCTGTCGGTTTTTCGTATGTTGTTCTTGTTTCGCTCAACGTAAAGGCAACCCACTGTTGGGTTGGCGGCGCAGGCTCTTGATGGCAAAGAGGAAGCCGTTAAGATCCAAACCACCAAGCTAAACTTAGTAGAGGGAAACTGATAGGCTTGGGAGGAGGGGTGGGTTCCGACTTCTGTGGAACCTCCTCGGTATCACAGAAGCACTGGATAACAACCAGGGACTGTGCATATGCCACCCTTCCCCAAAGACCAATAAGGAGGAATCTTTGTTTAGGACCCCCGCGCTCAGGCGGAAGCTGCCGCGGAGCAACTGGAGGAGAGGTTTTCTTGCAATGCATGTCCGTATCCGGAGGTTGTTCCCCGCTGCATGGACAGCGCCTGCCCGTGCCCCCCCCGCCCGTGGCAGTGGTTGCTGGGGTTGTCACTTCGGAAAGTGGAGCAACCGCTTTTCTCGCTTGGAGGTGACCATACGGTGCAAGCTTTTTACACAGTTGAGTGGAGAATTGGTAGAACCTGGCTCGGCAAGCGGTTTCCGGTTACTGTCGTTTGTTTTGCAGCCACCAAAATTCTACACTTTCCCCAAAACGAGAGCTTCGAATCCATTTTGAAGCTTTGGTGTGTCTAAGAAGTTCTCACACATTTGACAACCTTGCTGAGTCGTCGATGTGTGCCAATGAATGTGCTCATTTTGAAGGTTCCTTGAAGGATGCATCCAAAAGCCACCTGCTTTCAAGCACCTGTTTTAAGGGATCCTCTCTGAACCAGCCGGTAGCTTTGATTTTTTGACTTGCCCACATGTATCCTTTTAGAGACCCTGTCATGGCTGATCTTGTGCTTCAAGCGGACGGAACCCATTTGTTCGAACTTGGTGTATGCCATTTTCTGTTTTCGCACTTGGACCCCGTGACCAAGACTTGTCGGGACGGGAATCCCATGTTGAACAGAAAGCGCAACTGCCCCAGTCAGCCCCCAGAGTTGGCCTAAGTGGTTTCAGTTACTACCGGTTGGGTCGACATTTCCTGATCTGTCTATGGCGCTTCGGGAGACGCAAATCAGAAGGTTGTTTGACTGTGGCTCACCTTATCAAGTGGTGCTGCTTGAAGCAAACGGTCGGGTTGGCTAAACCATCCGGGGATACGCACAGGTGTTGCCAACTCAGCTTGGAACCAAAGATCTTTCCCGCGTGGTCGACGATACCATGGGATTTTGGCCAAGCGGACCAACCTCCGCTAAAGGGACAACCGCAAGGAGCTCCGTGCGGGGACACTGACCTGGGTACTCCTGTCGGTCAGCTGCTTCCAAGGTTCGACCAAAAACGCCGAACATGTTGGCAGAAACGTGGTTTCTTGTCCTTTTGGTTCGGGAAGCCACGCAACCAACTGTTTGGTGTGCGTGTTGCGGATCGTGCGGCATGGTTGTTCAGTTTGTTTCGTAGAATTCTGCCAAACTTGAATCGAACATTTGGTGTTTCTGATTTTGCTCCCCCCAAGGATACCTTTCTAGGATGTGCTCAGGTCATCCTTCTGGGCATATCATGGATCTCGCCTGGAGAAGCCGGGCTTGCCCAAGAAGACGTTACTTGGGCTTCCTTATTTCCAGTTGACTTTTTTCCCAGCTAGTGCTCAGGGACCCCAAGGGTGTCTCCCAAACAATATTCTATATGTCTTTCATACTCTGTTTTTCGTGGGCTCTTCAGCAAGCCCGCGTTCGACGATCCACCGCTCTTGTGCCCGGAGGAGCGCCGCAAGCAGCTCACGGAGGCGCTGACAGGTGCGGGTCCCAATGAGTGCGGTGCTGACGGGGTCCGTCGTTTTTGAGCACCCACTGTGGGGGTGATTAAAATGGAAGCCAAACGGAACACACCTAGATGTTGTCCACAAAAGGCAAAAGGGGTGGGATTTTGGTTGGTCTGTTTCCAGATTTTCTCTTACCCAGTTGTTGGGCTGTTTTTGAGGATCAACACAGGCCTCCGGGTTTGCAGGGCACGGATGTCTGCACTGGGGTCATCAGCCAGGAACATAAGACTTTTGCCGTATTGTTTGGTGCTTTTGCCCTTTGGGTGTGTCCTTTTTGAGGGGCACCCACCAAAATGGTGTGTGCCTCTTGGGTTTCCCTCAACAGCACCCAAAATTGCCTTTTGCACTTTGCATCAAGTTTTGCCCCAAGAAATGCCGGGGTCAATATGTCAGGTTTGGAGGGCGAGCGCGACGTGAAGATGGAAGCACTCGCCAAAGCACGTCTGGCAGCCGAAGAGGACGAGCCCGGGTCGCTGAAAGCATGGGTGTGTCTTATGTAGGAGGGTATTTCCCTTCAAAGCCATCCGCAAAAAGAGTCCACCTGTTTGAGAAAGCCCCCAACAGACGTGGAAGTGCACATGCGAACCCCTTTTCCAACAGGAAGGTCTTCGTCTTGCCAAAAGGGTGGGGGGGGGGACCCCCCCCATTTTTAGCATCCTTTCCGGCAACCAGCCCCCAAGAAGGACGGCCAAGTCACCATGACTCGGTCAGGAACGGCGCCTCCAGCGGGAGGGCGAAGAGCGAGGCGCGCGAAAGTTGGGCGGCAACATTGTCTGATTCGTGTGGTGTCAACCCCGGATTTGTTTAACTCCTGGTTGATTCACCGGGGGCGTGTCCCCTTTTAGCCGCACCCCTGCCCTTGCTCTGTCTATTGTTTTTCCTCTTTCTCTCCATCTTTCTGTTTCTTTTGCTCTTTCCCTGTGTCTTTTCTCTTTTCCTCTCTCTTTTCCTCTCTCTTTTCCTCTCTCTTTCTCTTTCTCTTTCTCTGAATACCCCTCTTCTTTGTTCTTTCCCATCTCTCTCTCTCGCTCTCTCTCTCTCTTTCTCTGTTTCTCTGCCTCTTCTTTGTCTTTATCTTGTCTTTCTCGTTCTCTGGCCCTTTCTCTCTTTCTCTCTTTCTCTCCTTCTCTCCTTCTCTTTCTCCTTCTCTGTATCTGTCTCTTTTTCAGTTTCTTTCTCTTTCCCTCTTTCTTTTTTTCTTCTTCTCTTCCTCTTTCTCTTCCTCTGTCTCTTGTCTCTTTCTTTTTCTTCCTCTGGGCATGTGGAAGCGGAGCAGCGGCTGTTGGCCGCTTTCTCTTTTGTTCCTCTTCCTCTGTCTCTTGTTTTTTCTCTTTCTATTTCTTGCTTTCGCTTGCTTTTTCTTCCTCTTTATCTTTTTTCTCTTTATCTTTCTCTTTCCCTTCATTTTTATGTTTCTCTTTTTCTCGCTCTCTCTGTCTCTCTCTCTCTCTCTCTCTCTCGCGCTGCAGCCCAAGAAGTGAACAAATGCAAGACACACCATGTTTTTCGAGGCTCACCCGCCGAAAGTCGCAGAGCCGTGAGAGAAGTGGACAACGCAACAAACCAAAAGTTTTTGAGGGTTGACTCACCCAAAGTCCGCAGAGGGTTCGCTTCTCGAAGGTTGCGAAACGGTGGGCGCGGCCGTGCCAATGATTCAAAGGGCCTGTTTCCGAACGTGGTCCGAGCCCGCTCCGAACCTGCGCTCCAAACCTACACTCCGAACCCGCTCCGAGACCGATCGACTGAGATGGTTTGGGCACCTGCTGCAGCAGACTTTGGGAGCTTTTTCAAGCACGATGCATGCAGTTCTAAGAGCAAAGCTCAAATAGTTTTTGTATCACAGAAGGTCTTGTTAAGCTTCCTTTATTTTGATTATGATCCACTTGGGAGGGGCATAGCGGTCTCACAAAATTCCCACGCACAAAAAAGGGTCAACAGGGTCGCGCTAAAATATCCATGTCCTTTTTGTTTGCCTGGAAGCTCTGGGGAAGACGAGCCAATAGCTGTCATCGGACTGTCGGCTGTTGCATGCGGCCTTGAAGCACATATCTAACATCCTTTTTGAACCAAGAAAGAGTTAGCTTCCTTTTGGTGGGGTGATGTTGCAGGGGGAGCCAGTTTCAATGATTCAATGCGCTTTGAGTTAAGTAGGATTTTCCTAGCAACACACTAAGTGGGCAACGGGTACCAGTAACTGCCAGTAACGAGAACTGGCAACTATTGCAAGGATTCTATACTTCAACCGCTCCCAAGCTTTCAATGGCTGCTTTTGCTGCTAATTGCCCGACAACTTTGCTGAGCCATAACAGTTCATAGATTTGTTCCACCCACATTCCATCAACCCGTTTTTTCAGTTGCTAGCTTCGGCCTTTCGCTTTTTTTTTCAGTGCGTTGCTCTTCAACCTGAGGAGGGCTGACTTGAATCATAAGTCGCAGGGGCCCTCCCGGAGTTGGCTGAGGTGCTGCGCGCTTGTCCGAGCTCGGCCGCGCAAGGAAGGAGGCCGCAAGGGCAACGGGGCTGTACTTACCCAACTTCGATCAATCCGATGCTAAACAAAAGGACTTCGGAAGTTTGCCCCACTTCCAATTTGCGAAGAAACCGTGTGATTTTCTCTGTTGATTTTGAAGGGAATCTGTTTCTACTGGAGATACGTTTCTTTTTATCCAGTGACTTCAGGAAGTAAGCGCTTATGGTGACTTGCAGATCGTCTGCTCCTGGTTAGATCGCTGCAACAGTTGATGGACCAATAGGTATATTATCTAGACATATTCATCAGAGGAGTATATTTCTCAAATCAACATGGGGCGACCGCCTTTGATTATAGCGCACTTTAAAGTTGGCATGATTCTTTCTGTGATGACCTTGCGCGTGTGTGCATCACTTGCCCCAGGTGTGAAGCAAACAAAACGCTTGCTTACTTGAGCAGGGTTTGTTTTGATTTTCCAGGGCAGCCCATGTGTTTGAACCACATTTCCGCCACGGCTTGTTTCGGGGAGAGGAGCTTGCAAACGCCACACACTTGAGGCCCTTTCACCGAGATAAATGCTTATCGCCAAGCTTAAGAGAATCAGGCCTGCTTTCAGCTCACTGAGAAGTTCCGAAAGTTGCCAGGCCTGGAGGCAACTAGTCAGCCCATTCTCCGCAAGCTTTCTGGAGGGGGTGGTGGTGGTAGCTCTGGCTCACCACGATGTTAGGTTAGTTTGGTTAGCTCGACCAATGGTTGGTTAGTAGCTCTACCTATGTTCCAGATCCGTGAATCATTGCGTTTGCTCCTGTTTTTTTTTGTTCCCGACAGATTGGTGCCCCGTTGCAAATCACCCGAGGCAACTGTGCCAGCATTCGTCAAAGGCATCAGGGAAAGCCAATTTGCAACCTCCAAACGCAACCGGTTAGACTTGTCGAGGAAACCTGGGCAGAGTACTCCGAAAGTCAGCACAGTTTCAACCAAAGAGGACGGCGGACAAAAGGAAACGGCTTTCGGCACAAATGCAATTTCTGCAGATGATGTTCCCGAAAACTAGCCCTCAGATCACTAGAGGTACCCTCTTTCCCCTTGGCGCATTTATTCGAAGCTTAGGCCTTTTGTTTCAGGTCCTGGCATGCGACTGGTGTGCCCCATGACTTTCTGAGTGTTTGGCCCTGGTTCCTCTCGGAGGACAAACAGCTCGGATTTTCCTGCCACGGAAGCAAGTTAACGTAAGGTGCCGAATGATTCCGAGTATTCGCCTGTATTTACGATGATGATTGAAGTTCCCCAACACCCGGAATGATTTAGGCCCTAATACAAATCGTCAGGCAGTCTTTGTTTTCTTTTGTTGGGGACGGTCTCTGAGAGATGGGGGCTAGGTGGAAGAAGCCGCCGCCGCTCTGGAAGCAGAGCGCCCACAGGCTCCAAGCATGGGGATTGCAGGCTTTAAAATAAACTCCACTGGAAATCAAGAGCTTCCTTCCAGTTGGTGGTTTGGAATTGGTGGGTTGTCCATTTACCCTGCACACATCGTTGCTTGAAATCAACTTGGTTTGGTTGAGCGTTTGGGCAATTTCCTGTATGTCCTTCAGGATTGGGTTGCTTTCGGATGCCACACAACCACATACACGCATGGTTGTCCTTTGGTGCAAGCGATCGGGAAGCCGTTGAACGGGTTCCCTGCAGGGATCTTTATGATCATCGCGAGCTTGAGGCAGCCCAAAGCTGCCTTCAAACACCGGGTGTTTCACCAAAGCCCTACGCAGCCCAATGGTTTTTACAAGGCCCTTCCTTTTGCAGTAATTGAAGCAATTGGCCAGGGTCAAGGTTCTCTTTGTCAACAGCGGAATGCTGTTGGTGAGTGATTGGTACCTGCATTCTACTTGCACTGATTCAAACACGCGAGTTCGCCGATGAGTACAACGAGCTTGGGCCCAATGAAGGTCCTTGGGAACGAATGCAGTTCTCCATTGGTTACTGGTACGGCTAAGAATTTAGGTAGGGAACCACCTCAAAAGCGGTTGGTGGGCATGAATGTGTGCCTAAGTGATCTCCCCCACACTCTCCCCCACACTGTCCCCCAACAACAACATGCCAATCTAATTTGGAGGTTCACGAGGGGAGGTGGACGAGCCTCCGAATTCAATGTTCGACGTCCAAGAGACGAGCCCAAGTGTTCCCATGTCCGTGGTGCATTCAGATCCCGCCGCGTTTTTGCTTTTGTATCTAAGGTTCACTAGATTGGCGTGTCTTAGAACCCCCAAAAAGGTGGTTTTCCTGTCGGTTTGCCCTTGAAAACCCATACGCGGACTTGCGCTCGCGCCCATGCACGGCAGTGCAGTGCAGTGGGCGGTCTGATCCGGCCTAGACAGGCCTTGCAAGGTCAGCAGCAACCCTTACGGGCCGAGCGGACGTGAATGTTGACAGCCCTTGTCGCATGTCAACGAGGCTAGCGTGGCAGCAGCCGAGAAAAACGCCCTTTTGGGGAGGGTGAACACCATAAGAAAGAAGGTTAATGCCAGAAGCAAGGCGATCACCAAGTCCAAAAGAGCGAACAAGCGTGCCCACAAAGGTCTTAACATAGTGCATCAGCACTGTGACCGTTGGCCTAGCGAAGGCGTGCAGCGGCACCTGAAGCCCTGCAGAAGTCTGTACAGGGAATTCAACACATGACTTGGCCGCAAAAATGGTTAATTCGAGCCAGCTGACCGCTGTGCACTCATCACTCTGGCAATCAAGAGCTAGGAACCATTCTCCAAAGCTCCTGAGGAAGTCCGGCGGGTACGACCCAAGGTTCTCGACGAGGTTCTGATGCCAGTGCAGTGGCAACTCGTCCGCCCAGGTGCTGTTTCGTGAAAACCAGTTCTGACCAGGGCGGTTGGGAACCTCATCCGCAGCAGGGTCATCACTGGGATTTGGCTCTGGCTGCTGCGCGGCTTGCAAAAAGCTGGTATAAATGGCCTCAAGGGCATCGCAAACGTTGCGCCAGTGCTTGAAATACCGGTCTGCTTCGTTCCAGGTGTCGAGGAAAGAAGTGGGCCTGCTTTTGTTTGCAAAAACCGCGGCTTTGTCTGCAGCGCTGTTGCCGGCGAATCGCATCGCCGAGGATCAATATGGGCCGGGATCCAGTTGACAAGAACAGTGGAGTTGCGGTTGGTGCGAAGTGCGTCCTGAATGCGTTCCCAAATGTCAAAATTCTCGGTGTGGATGGGGTCGATATCGTCAATACCGGAGAAGGTCTCAGATACATATCGCGAGTCCGTCCAAACGCAGATAGGTACATCATGGTGCGCTCCCGACAAAATTGCTGCTAAACAAGCGGTGGCTTCTGCTCGACTGATGGATTGCATAATACCTTGTAGAGGTCCAGCTGCAATTGTCACTCGTTTTCCGGCGTGCGTAACTGCCCAAGCTGCTAGAGATAGCTGTTTGCAAGAATGTTGAAAGCACGATCCGTCGGTGAAAAGCTGTTGTAGACCTGCATCACAAGGTGTAGCAAAAAAATCAGCAGTAAGGTCAGCATGTTCATGGAGAGCGTTCTTGATGCTGAGCTCGAAGGGGTTTCGAGGCACAAGCAAATGGTTTCGCACACACTGCGGAAGTGTGTCCCACTGGTCGCAAACCCATTGGTGTGGCTGGCGAGCTTCATCGGCGAGAACACAGCTGACGATCTGGTGGCGAAAGTCATTGACGGTACCGCATCGAACACAGAGGCTGCTGGCGGCAAGGTCAAACTTTGCGTGCTGGGCAGAAGTACGAAAAGACCCATCCTGTAGCGCTGCGAGTTGTGCGGCCTGCTGTGGTGTGCGGGATGCCCGCTTGTGAAAACTACATGCTGTATCGATGCCGTGGAGGCCAGCAAACGTGGGCCGGTCCTGGACCTGTTCTGCGACATGCTGATGCCAAGCGTCCTCGAGGCGATGCTCGAGTTCCCCATTGCTGCACGCCAGCAGATCAAAGACCTGATTGTCATGATCAACTAGGTTGGGAGGCCGAAGGACCTGCCATCGCAGAGGGGCCAGGACCTGTAGCAGCTTGGAGTACGGGCCTGGGAAAAACTGACCATCGAATCGCTGCATGAAAAGCTTCCACTCGGCAGTCTGATGTCGCGTAGGACAACCTTGGCCTGGTAGAATTCAGGGTCAGCAAGTAGCGGGAGGGATGCGGCAATCCTCAAAAGAGGGTTAGCTCCGGCTCGTTGGATACGGAGGGAGCGAACTGCACTTGTTCGCAGCTTGGCCAGGTGGCTAGATGCGAGCAGGCAGGTACTGATGCCATGTAGGACACGCGGCCAGAGGGCCTGCCATAGGACTGTTGCTCGTAGCAGAAGTGGGCCGGGAGCTCGCTTCAAGGCGGTCCAGGTGTGATCGAGTCCTCGACATCTATCGACAAGGCCAGCGTTTCGAAGAACCTTGCCATAGCTCATGGTGCCTCCAAGATCCCGTGCTTCGCGTACAACGGGGAAAGGCAGCTGCTGTAGGCTTTTCCTGTGCGGGGCAGTGACCGCCCAGGCAAAAGACTTGTTGATGTCGATTGGCAAGTGGAAAAGGTCGCAGAATGCTTCGACTGTGCACCAGCTCCGGACAAGGGCACTCGGTTCGACTGCGACAACGGAGAGGTTGTCAACGAAGGAGTAGGCCTCAGCGCCTGGTGCAAACTGCTGGAGGTAGCTATGATAGGAGAGATCTATCAGGAGCATGGCGATGATGGAAAGCGGGCAGCCTTCTGCAAATCCGTTGTTGGAGCGAATGCCCTCCGAGAGGGCTGACCGAACAATGAACCGGCGCTGGTTGTGCCTGAGAAAGGCCTGCCATGGCCCAAGAATGTGGTTGCCGATCCCGAGGTGCTCCGCGAGAAACCAGACTGGTGATCGTGCCAAGTTGTTGAAGCACTTCTGCAGGTCGATGGAGTATCCGCACATACTGCTGCCGGCCTGGGAGGCTAGCTCGATGAGTGCCTGAATGGCGTATACGACCTGAGTGGTCTCCCGTCCCGGCAGAAAGCCGTACGCATGGCATTGGAAGAAAGGCACAAGGTGGGAAAGCACTTCCTTGGCCCTGATGGCAGCCCAAGTGCGATAGAGCAGGCTATAGATCGGGGCCTTGCGGGTTGGCGCCTTTGCCAATGCACCTCACAACGCCTTCGAGGAGTTGAGCTGGCCAAGAAGTCCCCACGCTCAAGGTTATTGAACCAGTTGACGAGTTGATCCTCAAGGCAAGGATGTAAGTGCAGGAGGTCGCCAATGGAAAAGCCATCGGGTCCCTTGGCTGCATGGGGCCGGTATTTCCGAAGAGCAGCTCTCCAGCGCGCTGTCGTCAGTGGCGTGTAAGGCATCTTTCCGGATGGGATGAATGCCCGGGTGAAAGCGGCAATGCGCTGGAGGTCCGAGGCCGGAAGGTCAGCACTTTTGTTCACTTGTTTCAGTGATGAAATCGGTTTGAGTGAGGGTCTGGCTGGGGTCAGGACAAAATCGCTGTCGACATGCAGGACACAGTCATCATGGGCCGATACATTGGCTGGTTGCCCTTCGAGATCCCAAGTCGAAGAGCTGCATATGTTGACCTCCTTGTCGACATGAACCAAATTGGTGGATGGTTCAACGCCCAAAATTGTGTAGTGCTGGCGAACTGTGAGTGTCAATAGAAGCTGGCTTGTCTTCCCTGATGAAGGCGAAGATTGAGCCCTGATTCTCGCTCAGCCGCACGTCAATGGCCCGAGCACGCTGGCGAAGATGCCAGGCCTCGAAGCGCCTGTAGTTGGCGCGGAAATCCTGGTAGATAAGCTCGATGGTGAGCACGTCTGGCACCGCAAGGGTGATGGACATTGGCGAGCCGTGTAGTTGGACCGATCGGTGAGTCCACCAGGAAGAAAATCCCTTGCTAAAGCCAGGGGCTTCATGGACTGCTTTCCAGGTTTGCAGTCTGTAGACAACTGCGGTGGCCGCAGGAGAGGCCGCCCGAATTGAGTGGCGAAGGCTGAGAATCCTTCGAAGTTGCTTGAACCACTGACGAACAGCAGTTCCAACGAATGAGGAGACTGGCAAGTCCTCCCCTTGTCTGCTGGGACGGAGAGTTGGTGCCATAGATGAAATCATAGTAGGTGCAGCTTTGCGAGCCCTGCCTTTGCTGCGACGCGGCAAGCGTCCATCTTGGAAGCTGTTGCAGTAGCCGTCCAATCAATCTTCAAAAGTCTTAGCAAAAGAGCGGAGCCAGCGAGTGGAGTTGGCGTCCTCAGCGAGATGTAAGCTTTGGGCATGCCAGGCAGGGACATCCACATCCTGCCATGGTATGGAGGCCGGATAGCTCCAGCTAAGGTAGCGCGGAAGGTGATCGGGGATTTGCAGGCCTACATGGAGCGAGGCATGTTCCTGGAATCTCTACCCGTCGCACCAAAGCAGCTGCTTCTGGCGACAAGAAGATGA